TTCTATTCTATTCTATTCTATTCTATTCTATTCTATTCTATTCTATTTATTCTATTCTATTCAAATCTATTGTGCAAAATTTTAGGTAACCGTTAGAATATGAATTCAGATTAGGAAAGCAGAGGATTAAAGTGAAACGAGATAAAATGGGGTGGGGGTGGGGAGGCCATGAAATAGACCAGAGAAAGGAATAACGACCTGCATGTAATCATCCCCGAACAACTATCCGCACCGCCCACTTTTAACAATCCTTCTTACCAGGGGTCTTCAAACTTGACAGCTTTAAGGCTTGTGGACTTCAACTCCCAGAATTCCTCCTCCAGTCGTGTTAGCTGAGGAATTCTGGGAGTTGAAGTCCACAAGCCTTAAACTTGCCAAGTTCGGGGATTCCCTGCTTCGTACCTTCCTCGTTTCTCTCCGCGAATTCAAGGCTTCACTTTCCGGGGCTCCCAACTTCCGACGCCCGAGCCGCGTCCTCGGCTCACCCTTGAACAGCCAATCCGCGCGGGGCGCCGACTACGACGACGTCATCTCTCCGCGCCCAAGCCTTTTGCAAGATAGGGCATGGTGGTGATGCCGTGGCTCAGCGGGCTGCGATCTCTTCCTTGATCCCGACACGGGGCGGGATCCCGGATCTCTTTCCAATCGCTGGTCTCGGCCAGGTTCCCCCCGGCGGCGCAACGTTTCCCAAGCTATGGAGGCCAAAGGGCATCTTTGCGCTGCTGATCGCCTGTCTTGCTAGCCCGGAGGTGGTGCCCGCTTCCCGGGCATAGACGGTTGGACGGCTTCCACTATACAGAATACAAAATAACAAGAGTTGGAAGGGACCTTGTGGGTCATCTAGACCAACCCCCTGCCCAAGCATTGAAGGGGGGGGTTCCCCAATACCTGGGCAGGGCGATGTCCGCCGCCGCCCCTCCTAAACCCCCACCTGGGGTGCCTTCTTTCTGCCGCCGAGCTTGGGAGCCGGTGTTTGCCAAGGTGAAGCGAGCCGTGGTGTTCCTGGACCCGGCCTGCGCAGAAAGCCTCCACTGGACCTACGGTGGGTTGGAGGCGCTCTTGCAAGCTGGCGCCCTCAACGTCAAGGAGTTCTCCAGCTTTGAATCTGGGGAGGCTGAGCAACCCAAAGCCGTCTTCGTGGTCAGCACCGCCTTGAAAGGCCAGACCTTGGACATCATCCGGGACATCATGAGCCTCAGCTGCTTCCAGTACTGCGTGGTCTTCACCGGGGTCAGCCACGCGGTGCACTTGCAAGCGTACAACACGCCCCTCGGCGCCGAGGCCGAGAGCTCTGGCCCGGTGGTCTTCGAACAGTTTGAAGAGAAGCTTTGCCAGTGGATGGGCAACATGAACTACACTGCGGAGGTGCACCATGCTGCTTTGTTTCTGGCTCCCCTCTCGCCTCACCTTTTTGTGACGCCGGCCTTTGCAGCGCTTTTCCCTTTGATGGTGGAGGATTTGATGCACCTCAATAGGGCGCGACCTGAGAAGAAGAAAATCAGCCACTTGAGTGATGTGGATTTCTTCTCCCTGCCTTCCGAGTTGCAGCTTGCCATCCGGTCGCTGGTGTCAGATCTCAACAGCTTGTTGGAGTACCTTAGTGTTCGGGAGGAATGTTTCGCCGTTGGATCACTCAGCAAGATTATTGCAGGGGATCTGGCGAATTATTCCCAGGCCAAGCTCAGGAGGAAAAATGCACAAAATAAAGCTGCTATCATTTTTGTGGACCGGACATTAGATTTGACAGGTAAGAACCCGGATGTTGATTTAAAAGATATTGTGGTTAGCCAACAGCAGGTGCAGACGGCTGAGGAGAGCGAGGACTCAGATGAGGGGCCAGGACCATTAGGGAGTGGACTGCTGCCTTCAGAGGTTGTGCGAGCTGGCAGCAGCGATGAGGAGGTTCCCGAGGAGCCTGTGCCAAGTGCGCATGCGCGCAGGGCTGCTTGCAGGAAAGAGCAGCTGCAGCAGCATGGGAGACTGGGGAGTAAGGCTGCAAAGTAATGGGCCCTCCTTCAAGAAGATAATAGCCAGCTGTGAATCGGACCTTCTTTGCAGGAAGCAAAGATGGTTTGAAACTTGAGCCTCGTGGACATTGCAGTATCTTAGTTGGTATTTGAAGACTTGTGTTGTAAAATATTTCTAAGTAACCTTATCTGTTATTCTTGGCAGCCTCGCACAAATTTGGCTTATCAAAGTTAATTAGTTTGCAACAGCCTTTTAACCGGGGATTCGTAAGAATCATTAAAAGGTTTCTGTTCCGTTTGGTTTGTTTGTTTTATTGGAAAAGGGTTTAGGTCAGAACAGGTATTGTCAAACTGATGTAGGAATTATGGTATTTGGATATGATTTAGGATTTTTTTATTAAAAAGAAAGATTAGAATCATTTTGAAAGTATAGACATCATAAGATAAGATAATCTTGGTTGTCACTTTTTTCTGGCACACATTAAAAAATGAAATTCTGATGCTCGCTTTCAAAATATATTCATACCTATATATGCACATACACATACATATATCTATGTTAGACACACACACATATTAATCACAACCATTTAGAAAACTTAGCAGAAAAAAAAGTCTTGAGAGTTAACAAGGTTGACACTATATGTATAAAGCTATTACAGAATCTAGTGATTCTGTTTCGGAACAAAAAAAACCAGCCATGGAGAAGATGTGTAGCATCCCAGGCAATGCAGGTAGTCCTCAACTTATAACAGTTCATTCATATAGGTCAGTTGTCAAGCACCCAGATGTAAATCAGGTGACCATTGGGATGCTGCAAGGGTCATAAGTGTGAAAAATGGTCATAAGTTATTATTTTCAGTGTTGTTCTAATTTTGGTCACTAAATGAACTGTTGTAAGTCAAAGACTACCTGTACCGCAGGCTAACTCTGCCCTCTGCCAGGAGTTCAATCCTGACTCAAGATTGACTCAACCTTCCATCCTTCCAGTAAAATGAGGACCCAGATTGTTGGGGTAATATGCTGATTCGGTAAACTGCTTACAAAGTGCTGTAAAAGCACTACAAAGTGGTATATAAGTCTGTGCTATTGCTATTTTTAGAAGAAGTATGATTAAGGAGGCTGAAGATTAGTAAAACATGGACTAGAAATTCTCTTGCATGAATGAAGCCCATAAAGGCAGAAATGTTCTTTTTTTTTTTTACTTCAAAACCACTTTATTATTTTAAAGGCAACTAGAAGCACTTTCATAACTATTTCTTAAGCAAAATGAAGTCATATTTCCTTTAATGTGACAAGATAATTAGTATGTGGATTTTATTTTAAGAATATATTGAATTTCTGAACCAGTTGAGGTTTAATTAAAACATACATCACTTATGGATTCAGACAAAATTACAAAGCACAGAACTGGAAACATTCAAAAGCCCTAGAAAAAAACCCCAAAACCTAATTATAACAGGCCCTCCAACATTGAGCAGATAATTAAAAAGGTAAAGACCAAAACAAAATGTGTGTTACCATCAGTAAATATTTCATAGCAAGGATTTCAATCGTTTTTGTTCTTCCTTTTGCCCCATATATATGACATGACATTAGAGATAGATGGTGAGTATACCTTTCTAAAGTAGTGTCTAGGTCACTACCATTTATCACAATTATATTTTACCTATATTCTGAATAGAATAATGAATATTACATGATAATGGGAGCCACTTTGCTTCCCTCCCTCAAAACTAAGAAATTAGTTATATTCAATAGCAAAATCAGTACAAATAACTAAAGGGCTCCCAGTCATTCAAGTAATCAGCTTACTGGTGTTAATAAAACTTGCTCACTGTGACATAGATGAGTAGCATGTTAATCTGCTCAACAATGATTGTTAGAGTTTCCAGTCTCAGTACCATTTGTACCAATATAGTTAAAGCCAAAGCATGCAACATTTAGGGTGCTTCTTTCCAGTGCAAGGACATGATCCAAGAAGAGTTGATAAGGCAGAAAATATTCTTATGACGTCTGTTGTCAATAGCAGCTGAAACTTAAGACGTCAAGCTGGGCTAAAGAAAACACTCTGATTTCTGGCAGTTGTCAGCTGAACAGGTACTACAGGAGTACTTTGACAAGATCAGTTATCTTGGAACAGTACACATCAGTTGCTGTTACTTTCAGGGGTCTTCAAACTTGACAGCTTTAAGACTTGTGAACTTCAACTCCCAGAATTCCTCCTCCAAGTCATGTTAGCTCAGGAATTCTGGGAGTTGAAGTCCACAAGTCTTAAACTTGCCAAGTTTGAAGATGCTTGGTCTGTGGTAAAGGGCCTTCTATATCTATCTATCTATCTATCTATCTATCTATCTATCTCTATCTATGTATCATATCTCTCTCATCTATGTTTACAGATAGATGAGAGATATGATATATAGATATAGAGACATAATCTCTCATCTGTCTCTCTCTCTCTCTCTCTCTCTCTCTATCTATCTAATCTGTATCTATCTATCTATCATCTATCTATCTATCTATCTATCTATCTATCTATCTATCTATCTATCTATCTATATCATCTCTCTATCTCTATCTAATCTATCTATCTCTATCTCTCTATCATCTATCTAAAGAATCTGAAAGAATTTAAAGCAGCAGTCTTCAAACTTGACAGTTTTAAGAATTGTGGACTTCAACTCCCAGAACTCCTCCTCCAGTCATGTTAGCTCAGGAATTCTAGGAGTTGAAGTCCATAAGTCTTAAACTTGCCAAGTTTGAAGA